ACACGAATTATCTGAAAAAACCGCTTACGTTTTGTGTCATAATAAAATATTTATTGTTTATAAATGACTGGTTTCGTAGTTATAAACATTGTTAGATAAAGTTTTGACAAACACTTGGATGAGTGGGTCACTCACTCCTAATTAGAGGATTGAACACACGATCTGTAATAAAATCAATTACATCTCGGTTTTGTATTAAAGTTACTGGTTTCATAGTTGTAAGCTCTGCATATTGTAAGATAAAGTTTTCTTAGTGAAGCCTTGGATGATAGTGTAATAAAGTTGAAAAATGTGCTGGCATTAATGCACACAAGAAATGACACAAAGTCGCTTATATTTTGTCACATAATAACACATTCCTTAAATTTTTACTAATTAACAATCTCAGATAAAATTTTAACAAAGTCTTGGATGGGTGGCCCACTAACTCCAAATAGTGGAATATAATGTCGACGGCGGATTGGTATTAATGTACACAAGCAATGTGACACAGTCACGTTTTTTTTTATAAAAAACATTATTGTTTGTAAATAGGTAACTGGTTTCCTAGTTATACGCTATAAACATTGTAGATAAACATGAACATTGCATATGAAGTAAACTGCCTCTGTGGCTGAACGGTTACCGGACGCAGAGGCCCCAGTTTCGATCCCCGGGCCGGGAGAAATCTTTGTATGGCCTACATTTATTTCGCTCGTGAGTTTGGGTGTAATTTGTGGTTGTCTATGTCTGTGTCCATGGCACCCGCGACACAGGATTTCCCTAGTGCAGGGCTATGTAGAGTGTGTGTGCGTTATTTATTATATTTATAAAGTTTTCACGAGGTCTTTGATGGGTGGCCCACTGACTCCAAATAGTGGAATAACAAAATTGCTTACTTTTTATCACCTAACAAGGCATTGGTAGTGTAAACTTTATAACAAAGAATTCACGCAAATTTTTAACAGTGATTAATCGTATTTACACATAGCAGGTACTTACGATATGGTTTTTCAGAACTGCTGTTGCCTTTTACTCTTATACGTGACCAGCTTTCGGAGAGCAATGCACTTCTTCGCTATGTTTGTTACGTTTTATAAAAAGAAATAATTAGATCAGTGGTGAATACCCCTGTTTGTATTACAGAATTGTAATACAAGTACAATTCAGTTCAGGTTCAGAAACTATACTGAATTTTATCAAATACGACATCATATTTCATGTTTCTATCCTTTCAAGGTGGATTAAAATTTCACTTTATACAAACGCCCACCCAAGGCACAATCAACAATATTTAGTTTAGTCAATGCTACTGATATTGCTGTGTGATCATCTGTATAGGTTTTTACGATGATTCATAACACAAATCCATCCTTTTGTATTCCTTGTTATTATATATATTAAGTTAACGTTCATGTGTGTGTTTATTTCCCTGATAGGATGCAGATAAGACAGCAAAATAAGTAGACAAGTTAATAAAGATTGCGCTGTAACAATATGTGTGCGATAGCGACTCAGTTTGATGTTCTTAATTGAGAGAATATTTTACTGATAATCGATTTTACTAACGGAACTACTGCGTTTTGAAAATCGTGTCCTTAAGAGCGGTTACACACGGCGACTTTAGCAGCGATGCAGTCGCTATTCGTCTACTTTTACACACACGCGCGATTTTAAGCAACGTTGCAAGCGCGCGACTGCATTGCTACACTTGGTATTTGTAGGCGATTGCATCGATGCAGTCGCGCGTTTGCATCGATGCAATTACTGACTATTAGCTTCCCACAGGGTACTGTAACACGTTCTATAGGCAAATAGAACTTCTAATTAAGCGTGGGCCACAAAAATAAATCATAGCTTTAAACGCACTTTTAATACATTTTCAATTCAAAATTTTATTTCGGAGATTGTTCATATTATTATTATTATTAATACAAAGATCGAATAAACACAAAGAAATCGATCTGAATGGACTCGAACCAGCGTCTGCTGCCGCACCGGGACCACCGCTCTAACCAACTGAGCTACAGTCCTAGTCAGCAGATCTTACATATTTTTATATGTGCTTATTGCACATCTTTAAGACTTTGGCAAAGCCATCAGCCTAAACATGAAGTTTAATTATGTTTCTGTAAATATGGACGCCACAAAGAGGATAGGCATTTTGAGGCGGCGTGCTTGGATTGACTCGGGATTCCGTAAAACGGGCCGGTACGGGTATTTTAGTTCGAGATTCGTATAATTTCGCGTTTTAATCTTCGATTAAGGCACAATAGCACTATCCTATTCCACTTTAAAATAGATTTCACAAAATAATTGAAAGTCAAAATAAAAACCATACTTTTCCATCCAAAAGGTCCAGAGCGAATCCTGTGTTGGGTTTAAACAGCTTTTTGTCGTCAGCGCCATCTGTGTAAAACTTACACAAATTTCTTCGCTCTGCCTGGTACCTTTAAGCTCAACTCACACATGGCGATGCGCGTGGGCGCGCGAGGACTCTCGCATTAGCGCGCCCGGGTCACAGTGTAGTCGGCGTCAGACGCGTCACTACGCGCAAGAACGCACGACGACGCGCGAAACCGCTCGACTTTATCCAAGCGTGGACGCGCAGAGTACGCATAAAAACATGATGCGTCGCGACGCTTCGACTATGCGCCAGTGTGAGTTGAAACTTACAATTACCAGAGGCTGACAAGAGATGGTATTCATCGCCCATGGACATTTGCAACATCAGATGAGCTGCCTACGCCTTGCCAGCCTTTGAGAGCTACGCTTTTTAAAGAACCCCATATAATAGCGCAAAGGAAATACTTCTGAGGAAGGTCATTCCACATCTTGCAGGTGCGAGGAAGGAACAAACAGGATGCGTAGTCTTACAATGCCAGGCATCTAAGATGTGGGGATGGACTCCATTCGTTTGGCGCGAGGTGCGAAGGTGGAAACAAGACGGTGGCACCAGTTCGAAAATTTCCTCAGAGCACTCCTCATGATAAGGGCGGTGGAACACACACAGAGAGCCCAACGTATCTACGTAGGCTAAGGGGCTCAATACCGTCTGTGAGGTTGCGATCATCGACAATACGAACAGTCCTACATTGGATGGAGTCAAGTGTACATAGGGCGCACTATAATTTTCTGGAACTGGCCACTTACATAAACTATATTTTAAAAGTTTGAAAATGGAACTCTTTGGCTGTAGAATGCAGTTTGTTTCATCTGACTGTCACTTGTTTTTACATTGTGGCATCATTTTAGAAATTGGTTGTCTACATCACCATGGATTTAACTTGTGAAAATTTTCGTAGTAAGATTTTCTACGACTTTAAGTGTAATTTAACAGCTCAGCGGAGCTTCCCTCGGCTTCAAACTGCTTTTGGCGATGAAACACCATGCAAGACGACTATATATAGCTGGTTTGCAGAATTCTAAAGCGGTGAACAACAAAAACATCGATGCTGTGCGCCGCATGATCAAAACAGACAGACATGTGACATACCATGAGATTCGGGCATCTTTAGGCACAGGCATCAATCAAATACAATCAATACTACACAAACATTTTGGTGTGAAAAGCTGTGCTCTCGGTGGATCCCACACAATTTGAATGAGGCTCAAAAAACGGATCGCGTCACTTGGCGCAATGCCATGCTTACCAGATTCAACGAAGGGGCGTCAAATTTAGTGTGGGACATAGTAAGAGGTGACGAAACATGGATTTATAGTTACGATTCCAAAACAAAGCAGCAATCGAGCGTATGGGTCTTTCGAGATGAGCCGAAACCAACCAAAGTGGCGCGCGTGCAAAGTGCTTAGTACACGACCGATTAGTGATTGGTACACGACCATTTGTTTGCCGGAAGGTATTGACAAACTCCGTAAAAATAACCGTAAACGCCGTATCATCTTGCACCACGATAATGCCAGTTCTCACACAGCCAGACAGGCAAATACATTTTTTTGAAGGTGAACAACGTTGACCTTATGAGCCATCACACGTATAGTCCCGACCTGGCACCTTGTGACTTTTATTTATTTTCAAAAATTAAGAACCACACGCGGTCAAAGATTTTCGTCACCTGAAGAGGCTGTCGAAGAGTATGATGTATATGTTTCAGAGATTGTCACAGAAGAGTGACAAATGTTTTCAAAATTGGTTCATTCTTATGACACTTGCATAAACGCTAACGGAGAATATTTTGAGAAACAATAAATTCATTTCTGACCATTTATAGTATTTTTTTCTTATTCATTCCGGAAACTTATAGTGCGCTCCACATATCATAAAGGATACAAATCTAAAAGAGGTATAATTTAACTAATTAAAATAGCATTTTACATGATAACAGTAAACGCAATTATTACATTTTACAACACATTTTTATCTCCGTCCTGAAAAATTACACTAAATCACACAATGTATTTAGACGAATGCGCCTCCATGAAAATACCTGATGCGCCCCAAAAAACGTGGTAGTCAGTTGCAGTGCCACTTAGATCTTTACTGCACCGACTCTGCGCCCGTCACCCTAAGACATGAGTTCACAAGTCTCATGTGCTTGTAATTTCCCCAGCACATCCTTCAAAATCGGAACGCAGCAATGCTCACATTACTGCTTGGCGGCAGAAACAGATAAAGTGACAGTACTTCCCTAGACGAACTCTTTTTCTACTTTTTAAATAATGTTATACCATACTCACTTAAGTCTTGCAAGCCTAGATCGCATTAATTTTACCATTGAACGCGATGCAAACAAAGTACAGAGCATCCAACCCCAATACAGTGTAGTCTAAACCCACACCTACACTAGAATAATACTTATAAAAGAAATTTCGTTCACCATAAAACTATCCTCTACATCTGGTCTCACCTTTTTGTTACACTCAGTATACCTTATTCCAAGATGTACACAGTACGTAATGAATCTGACTTCGTTAACTTCCGAGTCCGTTTTTGCATGGAGAACATATTAAAACCGCTAAAAGAGGCTTATGGCCCTAATAATGAATAAAATATTTATTACCTTACAAATAAAGTCGAAATCTGTACTGGTGAAAAGAAAATTGCAAGAATTTGCTAGATATTAAATCCGGCTCCACGCGTCACTTCACATCAAGTTGTAATCTACACTGAACAAGAAGAATGACGTTTCATTTACCATCCATTAATCTTAAGGCGAAGAATTTACTTGAAACATAAATATTTCTTTTCAATTATTGGCATTTACGTACCTACATATTAGTTTTTTAAATATGCAAATAATTTACACGGCTTTCTGATTATCGCTAAAAATAAATAGGTTTTTTTCAGCAAGCTCAGAAAATTTGGAAACGTCTGCCTGACTCGTCCCGTACCTCGGTTGGGAGAACACTAGCCCGGTGGTTCACGTCCAGAGGGATCAAAGGAATCTTTCTATGACTTCGTTCGATCTTTGTACGTACCAATTAATAATTAACAAAGTAGTAGAATACTTAAAATAAAAATACTTATATCACTTTTACTATTGCTTATATTTGTGTACTGTAGTAAGACGAGTAAAGTTTATTGTCATTTGTACAATATATACGGTGATAAGTAAGTCGGTTAATTTCTGTAGGTGAGAGGTAAATAAAGAACCTTAAGTGCATATTTTGGAATTTAAATGCACAAACATTGCTATGATATACTAAAAATCATGCAATGGTAAAAGACAAAGTACTATCATCGTTTGTTTTTAATTAAACCATATTTTAGTTAACATTAAGATTGATTTTAAATGCCAAATTCTCTTTACAGCTCTCTATTAAATGTACTGTTTGACACTTAAGGTTCTTTACATCTCAGGTACCAGATTTATTATATAACAGACAGTGTTACATTGCGTCTATTATTTTCTTATTTCTTTTTTTTTATTATTGTTCCTATTATTGTGAAGTATATTATACATTGTAAGAACACAATGTATAATATATGTATGGTTAACTATGTTAAACATACTGTTCTTTGGGACTTGGTAATAGGCAGTTAATTTTCTTTAATAAATTGATATTAATGTTATGTTATTTCGGTCATTCTTGGACATGTGTTCCCTATCTAATTCCCGCGGCAAATTTTATTAGTTAAATATTCAAGTATATTACCCTGCAATTATTACATAATATTTCACGATACATTACTCGAATATTAAATAACATTGCACGATAAAAAAATCGAATACTTAAGTATTATTGTTATTAGTATTATAATAAACATTGCCACGGAAATTAGGTAATGAATACTAGTCCCAGAATGACCGATTTTATTGATACGGCATAGCTATATAATGTTGTACAGTAATTTACTAATATAAACTAGCATAATTTACTTACAACACATTCGTTTTCATTTTGCATCAGATCTGTTGCGTGTGTCTGTGCCTTAAACGGCACTATCATTCCGAACTTCATGTTTATTGCCCCTTGTTGATCTGCGATAGTCGTCGGCTGTAAACTAATAAAACAACCATACAACTGCAAAAAATTATTGTCCAAGCCTTTAATTTATAATACTCCATTTTGTTACCATAATTTATGTTGTAACAAATAGGTTACAACAATAATTATGGTACAAACAACAAATTCGATACACTTGCGGTATATTGTCATAATCTACATTCGTTGTCACAAAAAGGTTCACTCAAACTTGTGTTGGTGCTTATGTTGTTTATTACGAGTACGATCACCAGCTGTACAGTTTTGTTGACCAGCGGAGTGTGAACATTTTTGTTATACTCTGTATAATTGTGTGTACTTAGTTATCTACAATAACAACTAAATAACCTATATTTAGTTACTGTGCTAAAGTTCTTCCAGGATGTAAAATCATTATAATAAATTGTCCGTCTAATCAACAGCCGACAATTTGAGGTAGATGGTTAAGCAATGTGGCCAAAAAAGTAGAAAAATACTATTTTAGAAACGACTTAATCCATTAAAATTGGTAATGGCAATGATGCAAATTTTATAATGATCACGGCACCTATAAAGTGCATAAAACATTGGTTTGTTTGAAAAAACCAATACACGCGATTTTGATCCGAGACAAATAGTTTCATTTCTTATTTGTAACAATTACGAAAACCTAACACTCGATATAGACAAGTAGTTTTCAATAAAATTATTTCAAACCGACAACATTATTACACTTATACATCGATGTACAATTTTACTATAGCAATTTTACTTTAACGTGTTGTAACAAAGTTGCAATAGGTGTCACACACAGCAATGTATAGAGGAATAACACGAATGTGACAACCTATGACCGCCCCGGATCGTATTTGGTTCAGCAGGTGTCTATTGCCTTCAAGCAGTCACCGTTATTACA